AGATGATGACTAGTCCTTTGGAGAAAAATAAACAGAGAAGGGGCATAGGAATGTCATGTCACTTTCCATTTCAACCAGAACTTGCTTCAATGGAGAAAGAAGGCAATGGCATTCTAAGAAATACAAACGACCAGAGAACCCTAGCATAACCATTCTTTCTAGAGTTACTTTCCTGAATTAGGCAACCATTATGCTGAAAATGATGACACAGAAGGAAAAGGAAAGATTGGGCAACTTATGCTTCCTTTTCCTTTTGGTCCTTCTTTACTCAAAAGTAATCTGAAGAGAGAGAGTATTGATAGACGTGCACATATCATGAAGTGAAATTAGTCTGATGCAGCATCTCCACTGTTTTGGTAAGAATGAAATTCATATGTGTGGACAAGCTATGAAACACAAATACAAATGTATAATTTCAATGATTATGCATATGAGTTAAATGCCATTTAAAACTGGCATTGCACAATATGAAAAATCCATACTGATAATTTAAAAATTTAACTTCTCTTTATTTAAATGACATTAAATAGCAAATAAAAAACAGCATGACAAGTCAAGAGAGCAACCTTGGAAGAAAGAAAGAAGCTTTATATGTTAGTACCTTTAACAGCACTCTTTTCCTACTTTTTGAACAAGGGCCCTCACAATTTCATTTTGTAAGGGGCTCTGCAAAATGCGTAGCTAGGCCTGCCTCCTTGCCACCATGATTGGTTCAGATTGGGAAGATGAATTAATCCAGGCCAATGCGTCTTAAATCCATATTTTTGTGTGTGTGTTTTCCTAGAGCAAAGAGATACAGAAGCTCTCTCTCCACTGAGAGCTGTGAAGATAAAAGCCTGGAGCTGCTTAAGAATGAAAACAACCTGGAGGAAAGGCAAGCCCAGACGTGGAGAAAGATTCCCAATAGCATCATCTGAGCACCTGGGCACAGCCATGCCTACCTCTAACATGTTCCCTTTGCTCAAACCAGTTGGGGTTAAGTTTCTATCACATTCAATCAAAACATTCCTGCTATTGTAGGGGGGGAAGACATTTCCTCTACCTGCTCTGGGTTCTTCTGGCTGGAGAATAAATTAAATTCACATGAGACAGAATAACAGGAGAAAATTACACAAAGCTTTATAACATGTATACATGGGAGAGGCTCAGGCAACCTGAGCAACTCACCAAAATGGCTGAAGCCACCACCTTAAATATCATCTTCAGCTAAAGACAAAGGAGGATGTTGGGAGTGGGGGGAGTCAGTTACGAGAGATTACCAGACAAGTACAGCAAACAAGGGTCAGGTTATTGTCCAGATTTAAGTCCTTGCCTTCTGCATTGAAAGAGTTTCTAGAGATAAGTTCATCCCCCTTCTTCCTGTACAGTGAGGGAGACACATTTGCAGATGGAGATTTCCTTTACAATGTAAATATCTCTTAACAAAGGATAAGTAAACTCTGCTTTTCAGAGTTTCTTTCCTGTCTGCAGTTTTTAAAAGTAACCAGCCCAAAATAATCCTCATGCCAAAGAGACATACCTTGGGGTAGCCAATTCCACTCCCCCACACCATCAGAATTCTCTCGCCCAAAGGCCTTTGGTGTGGCCCGATTCCTTTGAGTATAGAATAACAGTGATCCCAAGGAGTTTGGCATTCACTCCAGATCCCTACCTATCTTTCCACTCTCTCTTTCCATTCTGCAAACCCCACACTTGATATGTTTTGGCCACTCCACTCCGCTCCTACTTGCACTTTCTTATCTGTGCCTCACTTTTACTAGTGCCTCCTTCACATAGAGACCATGTATCTATCCTCAATTATTGCTGTCAACATGCTGCATCACCTTCTTCAATGCCTAGCTGGAATGTTTTTTCTCTAGGAAGACCTCCCTATTTCTCCTCAAAACCATGTTCTTCCTCTCCATTTTTTTAAACTTAGTTATTTCAAATATACACCTAGTGTCAAAATAATTAGTTATCCATCTCCCTCACTAAACTGTGCATATTTCAAAGGTGTCTTTGAATTCTCTAAAGTGCCTAGCACCAGTACTAGTACATACTTGCTGCTCAATAAATATTGGTTAAACTGAATGAAGTGGAAGACTGAAGAATAACAGGAAAATTCAAAATAAGAAGAAGGCAAGAAGAATCAGAAGCCTTGATAAATACTGGTGGTGATCTCTTAATTAGGCTATATTGTGTGATTCTTAATTGAATGGTACTCTTGACTGTGGCAAGACACAATAAATGACACTAAAAAGTTACATTATATATTCCTGCTTATGTGGCTTAGGATGAAATGGAATTAAGGAGTTCTACATCCTGCCTGATCAAAATTTTGCCTAACTTTCACTCATAGATTCCACCAAACAATGCTTCAAGTAGACAAACTCCCCCAACCTCTGGTCTGAGTCTATCAAGTCACACTCACTCATCTTTTTGGCACAGCAGGAAACATATTTGGTCTTTGTCTCTGATTCCTGGCACACAGCTCCTAAAACCCTCAGGATCTCCAGAGTGATGACTGTCTTTGTGTGCTAATGAGATGACTAGTGGCTGAGGGCCCTTCAATCTTCAGGATGGGAGCTGGTTGCCGGAAAGACCAAGGCATGATCAGGGGTTGTAACTTTCAGTCCCCTCCCCACCCCATCTCTGGGGAAGGGAGAGGGGCTAGAAATTGAGTTAATCACCAATGGCCAATGATTTAATCAATCATGTCTACATAAAGAAACTTCTATAAAAACCCCCAAATGACAGAGTTCATATTGCTTCCAGGTTATAGAACACAACCATATGCCAGGAGGGCAATGCCCTCCAACTTCACAGGGACAGAAGCTCCTGTACTCAGGACCCTTCTTGACCTCACCCTGTGTACCCCTTCATGTGGCTGTTCCTTTTTGACCTTTTATAATAAACTAGTGATAGTAAATAAAGTATCTTCCTGAATTTTGTGATCCATTCTAGCAAATTATTCGACCTGAGGAGGGAGTCGTGGGAACCCTCGATTTATAGCCAGTTGGCCAAATGTATGAGAGGCCTAGAACTTGCCATTGGCATGTAAAGTAGGGGGTAGCCTTGTGGGACTGAGCCCTTAACCTGTGGGGTTTGTAAAAATTCTAGTTACTTAGTGTCAGAATTGAATTGAATTGTAAGACATTCAGTTGGTGTCTGGAGAGTTGGAGAATTGGTTGCTGTGGGGGGGAAACACATTTTGCTGTCAGAAATGTGATTAGAAACAGATCAGAATCTTTTAGGCAAAACCAGCCCTTTGATATAGAAAGTTTAATAATGTATTCCAAATGGTTTTGTGTTCAATAAACAATAAATTCAATGAGGTCAAATCATACCATTTCATTTTCTTCCATCCTTACCTCTCTTCTACTCCTAGAATCCAGAAAGCATTCAATCAACCCTAAGTGAAAATTTTTAACCTAGTTATTATCAAAGTCTTTTCCTTACCTATTTCTTCCATGGTTTTCATTTAGATATTCTAATGTAAATGTCACCCTTTGAAGGACAGAATACAATGTGAATAGTGCCCCCACAGTTTTGCAATGGTCTGGCCTTGTCCTAGTTAGGGTTTCTCCATAAACAATGATATAGGTGCAAGTATTTTATTTGGGAGCTGATACCAGGAAACATTGTGAAGAAGTAGAAAAGTGAGAGAGGAAAGGGAAAGTTAATAAAGAGTACATAAATAAGCAAGTTACCGCTGTAGGCAATTGGTTATCAATCCTGCTGAGGACCCTCTGGAAGTCCTTGTGGAGTACACACTAAGATTCCCATCCCTCACTGGTTGAAAGTCATTCCACAAACACTAACCCTGCAGCACTTCTGGCCTTCCCCTTGGGGGCCACACTTCTGCAGTCAGAGAATGTCCTTGGGCAAAGAAACACAGAAGGCTGCAGGCATATAAGGGAGCTGTGTGTGGTTGTCCTAGGGCAAGTTGAGGGGGTATGACTGACAGCATCTACTACAGTTCCTGATACGCATCCATGATGTGCTGCTAGGGTATCATTATTTATCTATTGTGTATCTGCTATCTGCCAGCTATTGTTCTAGATATAAAAGATACGCAGTTGAAAATAACAGATTAAAATATCTGCCACTATGAAACTTGCAGACCAGGTAAAATGATAGATATTAAAATATTATACAAATATATAGAGCACATCTTATGAAGTTCAGGAAGTAATAAATGCATTTAATGATTTGGTTGTGTCTGGGAGATTAAGGAAAGCTTCATGGAAAAGCAAGGTTTGAGATGAGGAATGAAAGATAAATAAGAGTGTACTAAGAAATACCTCCAATAAATTTAAAAAGGAAAACATGAATGGAGTGCAGAGAGAAAAGGTGAAGGGTAGCAGGAGGTAAAGCTAAAGAGGCAGACACGGGCCAGGCCATTCAGGGCCTTAAGTGTCATGTTAAAAACTGTAGCCCTTAAAATGAGAGCAATGAAAAGCCATTGAAAAGTCTTAAGATGGAGGGTATGTGTATGGCAAGAAAACTATGTGTGTTTTAAAAAGATTGCCATGCGCATCTCGCAGCGATTCATTTAGAAAAGAGAAGAGCAGATGTAAGAAGTACACTTAAGGCCATAAGTAACAAAGTGGAGGAAAAATGGTAACTTGGAATAGATAGTCGTCGAGTTAAAAAGTAGATGAGCTGATATAAAATTGGCAAAACTTGAATAAGAGAGAGACAGCATGAAGATACTTGTACTGCCACTTCTGGCTTTTCCTCAGTGGAGTCACTTTGGGAGACACCTTGCCTTGTGCATTGCTATTACTTCAGTAACGAACATAGCTATTAGTTCCTGGATCATGAAAGAAAATATAGACATAGAAATATAGAGAGAGATATAAATATTTTTATACATGTTACATATATTATATATAGTAAATACATATATATACTATATATATGACATATATATATTTATATCTCTACCTATATACTTGGATAAACGTCAGGGAAGAAGCAAATTTAGATGAAGGAAGATGACTTCACTTGGGACGTACCTTGGAGACATCCTAGTGGAGAGGATAAGTCAGCATTTGGAACAGCAAGTCTGTAGCTCACAGGAGGGTCTGGTCTGGAGATGTCAGTCTGGGATGGTCACATATATTTGATAATGAGGCTCTGGCCATACTTGAGATTGCCTGGGGAGAGAATTTAGTCTAAGAAGAGACCCTTGAGAAACTTGACTGTCCGCAAGCTAAAACTAACATATAACCACAAATCAATTTTGCCTTTGAAAGTTTATGTAACTATTCATGCTATTTTGATATAAATAAATCACAAAGAGTAGTTTTCCATGTTGCCTTTTTGCTTTGGTTTGTTTTTTACATTGTCTTGATTTCTCAGTCTCTTAGAGTAATTTTGTTTTTCTCTCAGACATAATTTCCATCCAGACGCAAACACACAAGTGAGTCTCACATTTTAAAAGTCTGTGATAAAGCTTAACACAGTTTGAGCCATTATAAATAAGAAAACTATTCAACAGTCTTCTCAAATAGCTCTCTTTAGCCTCTAAATTTTGTAAAATGCAGAGTTAATTACTTAGTGGGCCATAATGGCAAATAAAATTAAATGGAAAGAAGACACAGAGTTGTCAATAGAATCCAAGAAATAAAACAACGGCTTAATTGTAGGTCGATAAAGCAAAGAATAAAATCTCTTTCTAAAGTTTTTTTCTTTTTTTACAGAAACAGAACCTACACATCAAGTAAATAGTTTATATCTTATATATAAGAATACCATAAATATACCTAAATGCATTTGATCTCTGGGATCCTGTAAACAAGCCAAGCAGAAAAACAGTGATGAAATGATATTTACAGCATTGGAAACAAAGCCAAATAAATGGGAACTTCAGTTCCAGATTACTTGAGTTTAGATTTTCCTTGAATGTTTGTTTAAGCCCCATATACTATTGGGGAGAAAATAAATATAAATGGGGGTAAGTGATATCCCTCGAATCATAAAGATCAGATCTGGGATTCAGATCAGGGTGTGTGTTAGACCAGGACTCTTCATCAAACCACACTGCTTCATTTTTACCTCCTTGTGAGTGCCTCTATTAAAACAAGTCTGCTCTATCATGCAGATTAACCCAAGGGTCATTATTGTAAACAAGCAAGAGACGTGAAATACATTTATATGTAAAGTTTATGTTTGAATTTTATTGCTTATCAGTGAATTGAAAAAGGAAACTAAGAAAAAGTGGGCCCACAGAGTTATAGCCAAGGGTGAATCGGTTCATTAGGCCATAGCAGCCTTTAGTTATTCAGGGTGATTTGACTTTCAACCAAGACTGGGTAACGAACTGCCCAGCGGTGAGGAGCATGGCACTAGCTCTTTGCCCGGCTTCTGGAACTACAGACATGAAGTGTCAAGAATCAAACTCACTTAATTTTAGATTTTAGAAATACTATTGGACATGAATGAGGAAAACACAATTTTTAAAATCTGACGTATAAGTAAAATGAGATATACAAATGGACTTACCTTCAGAAAACCAAAACTTAGTAGAAAATATTTCCTATGTGATTAGATTCTGTTTATTACATTTTCCCAAGCATTTAATCAAATGTAGAGGTGCCCCCAAATGAAAAGCTCCAGGTTCTCTCTCCCCTCTGACTTCCAGACTCATACCTACCTCATATTGACTTCTCTACTAGGTCATTCCACTCAAAGCTCTAAAACTCTATTGTGGATTGCTATCTTCTCCCTCCAAATCTGTCCCCCCTCAGCTTTCCCTATGACATTAAATTGTGTTCAAGCCACCCAGCTGCCTAAGTCAGAAATATGAGAGTCATCCTACTCCTTCACACCCCACATAAAATTTATCAGCAAATCCTATTGTTACCATATCCAAAATATGAATGAAATCCATACAATACAGTAGTTTCCAACTCAGCTACCACCAGCTTTGTCAAAACCACCACCAATCCTCTTCTGCACAGCTGCCTTAGCCCCTGTGTGATCTCCCTGCTTCTACACTTACCCCCTATTCAAACTGATAGTAGCCATAGTGATATTAGAAAAACATAAACCTGATCACGTCAGTTCCCAGCTGAAGACCCTTCACTAACATCCAGAGGAACTTCAGATAAACCCAAATCCTTTTTCATGGTCAAAGATAAATTCCTGCAAGACTGAGCTCTGGCCACCTCTTCCACTGACCCCAATCATCACTCGCCACTGTGCTCACTGTCACCCAGATCAGGGCCAAGTCAGAAGATGGTCAAATACACTGAGGTCTTTCCCACTTTGGGATTTCTGCATGAGCTGCCTCTTTTGCCTGGAATTTTCTTTTTCTGCTTATCCTTGATTGTTCCTTTTAATCTTTCTGGACTCAGTATAAATGTCATCTTCTCCAAGAGTCCTTCTAGAGTCACCCAACTTGAAGAGAAACATCCCCTCCCCACACTCTTTTCCACCCAGCAGCCTGGTCTTTGCTTTCTTCATAGCACTTACAGGAGGTAATTAGATGTTGATTGCCTTGTTTACTTGCTTATTCCTTATTTTCCCCACAAGATACGAGCTCTGTGAGGGCTGCACTTTGTTTTATTCACTGATTTATACTCAGCATATGAAACATTGGAAGCACTAGATCTGTATTTGCTGAATGAATGAATGATGCAGTGAAGTGGTAAATGCTCCTCCTTGGAGAATCATGGCCAAAGGTCATGATTGGAGAATCAAAGGTCAGCCTGGCTGATTGTTGGAGGAGGTCATGGAGAGGATGTGACCTCTGGTTGACCAGGGAGCTGGACCCGCAATTGAAGGTTCCTGACCCTCCTCCCAGTCCTTGGACTGTATGTTCCACCCACTATTCCCACAGCTCGAGCTGTTTTCAAGAACACAGCCTTGAGAGAGCAATGTGTTGTTGAGACCATCTGGATGGTATATATGACTGAACCCAGTTAAGGCCTTTATACAAACGTGTAAGATTCTGGCGAGGGGGTGCGGAGATCCGCTCGTCTTGTGGCCGCCCGAGGCAAGTCTCCGAAGTAAGTTCCCTTGCTTATTAAACCTGCCACCTACCAACCTGGAGTAGTCTGCCTCTTGCTCGGTCTTTCCTTGCCCTCCTTGTTTAGGAGCGAGTTTGTGAACTAACACTGATAATCTATTGAATTCAGAACCCGCTATGAGTAAAGAAGCAAAAACAGAAACCACAATCTGGCAGTTTTTGCTGTGAAAAGATGATTCTCTCTCTCATTTGAAATATTCTAACCGTAGAGTGTTTCATTGATGTCTCCAATTTCACAGCTCTTCTTAGATCTTGGATTTTATTTTTAACCTTTTTCCTGGTTTAAAATGAATGTTTGTTTCATCAGCGTTAATGGGTATGCCATTTTGATTTCAGAGCAGTGAAATGAAAATTTAAGACATTTATTTCCAGAAAGTCAATTATTTTGGATGTTGTAAAAAACTGAAGGCTCAAACAGTTCTAATCTTTCTCAATCAGCATTTCCCAAGAGACTTTTCTAAGAAAAACAGTTGTTCCAAGAAGTGATAATGTGTTATACAAACAGACACACATACCTATCTACATAGAAGGTTTTTATATAGTCAAATAAGTATAGGAAATACTCAGTTTAATAATATTAAATAGGCCTCATAATTGTTGATCTTCTCAGAGTCTTTATTAACACGTGAATATGATTATGAATTTCTAAAGTGGGATAAAGTACTCAGAATTTCCTATTTTATTTGACCCTGAAGTCCTTATCATCTGTTACCACCTTGTAGAAGCATTGTTCTACAGAGCGCAGTATAGAAAATGCTTTTCTAGAGAGAGTGATTGATTCTAATTTAAGAATTTTTAAATTGCAGAACCAGAAGGAATCTCAAGAGTTCATCTCACTCAGCCTCTTGACGAGATGTCACAAACTCAAATGCATATGATATCTGGCAGATAACATAAATGGTTCATTTGGGCTCAGTGGGGACTATGGCACACTGAAAAGCATATATATCCAGCATAGGGGAGAAAGTAATGACTAATCTTCAGCTCTAATGCAGAACCAACATGCCAGATTATTTGATTTTCCAAAAGAAGCCAGAAACTCAGAGTTTGTATTAAAGCTTCCTATTGTTAGATATTTGTAACTATTCAAAACAATCTTTTTCAAACAGTGCACAGACCAAATAAAAATACCTGCAGGTCAGACTCATTACACAATCCACCAGCTTGCAATCTGATTTAAACTACCTAGGATAAATGTCTATTCTGTTTTTCAAAAGTTTGTACTTAGCGTCTCATCCTAATATTGTTGCATTTGTAATTATCTTTGATTTATTTGTCTTTATGGTCCTCTGTGAATCCTCCAATTTAGTAAATCCTTTAACTTGAAAGTATAAATAACATCAGAATAGTCAAAATTTCCTTTGCATATAACAACAGTAAGAAAGGGCCAGGTAATAGTGAGTAGATGATGTCCTCCAAGATGAGCTTTAGTCCATTGAAGAGATTCATTTACTCTCACACATTCTATAATGTCCTATTCTACTCAAATAGAAATATCTAAAAGAATTCATTAAAGACTATTTCACTTGAAAAAATACCAGAATTTTTCAAAGGGAAACTTGTGTAGCTCCTGGAAATAATAATTTTAATGTCATTAGGACCTAGGCATTTATCGCTTATGAAGCAGTAGAAGAAAAATTAGCAGCAGAGATAAGAGAATGGCCTTTGGAGTCAAACAAGCCTGTGTCCCAGTCTCAACTCATTTCTTACTGGCTGGCTCATTTTCAGCAAGGCATCCTCCCAGAGTCTTGGTGCCTCGGTGTCCTTGGTTAAAGTAGAGAAAATAACTGTATCTGCTTCAACAGGTTGCTGAGACTCCATTTACATAACATGCTCAATGTAATAAAATTATAGCAATTGAAAAGAGATCAGTGGTTCTCAGGCATTAAGGTGGTGGTATGTGACTACTGAGGAATGACATGAAAGAATTTCTTTCTGGCAATGGAACAGTTCTGCATCTTGATTGCAATGACGGTTACATGAAAAATGCATGTGGCAAAATTTCATGGAACTATGTACACCAAAAAAAGTATGTAAAACTGATGTAATCTGAATATAGTCTGAAGTCATGTTAATAATATTCTCCCAATGTCAGTTCTCTGGTTTTGACAATGTACTGTTATG